TTTATCTTATGAAGAAGCTCCTAGAATTACACAGAAGAGTGCCAACAATTTGAGATATTTTCCACACAGGGCAGGAGCTCTAGGCTCTATCTGTAGCTCTTGAGGGGGCAGAGGCTGCCAGAGTGATCAGGCTTCACTCTGCCTGCTGTAGCGTAGGACCTGGGGGTCTGCAATTACCACACATTCTAGGGCAGGCTGCAAAGAAGCAATCTGTAATATCAGAACACTTCCTTTAACAGAGCCATGGGATGGAAGAAAAGCACGTACTAGAAGCAGTGAAGGACTAGGGTTAGATGTCAAATGACTAAAATTTCCCAATTTTCTGTTTCTCTGTACAAGTTGTTTTAGGTTCACTGATGTCTCAAAGCAGGAGCAATAATGAATGTCAGGAAGACTTGCAGGAGTCAGGAACAGCCACTGGAATATATTTGAGACATTTGGTCATTCCTTTACCATGGTCCTGATCATATCTGAATATTCAAAAATGTACATGGGGGTTTTTCATGCAGCAAAATGGGTGGATGATCAGAGTTTTTGGATTTGCAATGCACAGTGAATATAAGATAACCTCCTCCTTGTCAAGGATAAGTTGTGAACTTACTGATGCTTTTCGGAAGTGGAGTAAATTACTTCACACATTGCTAGCTAAGAGAATTTGCAAAAGGAGTTAGTGTGGAGTAGTTTATGAGCTTGAATTCACACTTCAATTTTTTTTCTTTATGGTAACTTTTAATGTAGAGAAGAATTCAGTCATCTTAATTCTGAGAGTCTAAGTTCGAAAAGTGACCAGAGATTTTAAAAAATGTAATGTAATATTCTTGTGGTTTTTACTGTAATGCCACTCCTCCATAGGCTGAATGACATACTTTTCAGTTAGTTCTGATTTCAAGGGTGACAGTATAAGATATCTTTTCTTGAAAAATAAATATAGTGTTAACATGGGCTGTTGACCTGTTACAGACAGCTGAAATAAGAAGAAATTCTAGAAAATTAGTATACTAATTAGTGTACTGATAGTACTGAAGGTCTTATGTAACTTCTTATTGTTTAGTTTTTACATCTTCCCCAGGGTCTTGTCTTGCTTAATAAATTCAAAGCCAAGGGAATCCTGCCTCTTGTAAAGCTGGAACTTCTGAATCCAGACCTCTTTGGCACATGAGGAAGAACCCAGCAAGTGAAGCACTTCCCACCAAATCCTGCTGTCATTCCAGATGCACAAGGATTTTTAAAAACATGAATCTTGCTCAGGGCTTTATGCAGTCTGGTTTTGACACTCTCCAAGGATGGCAACTGCACAAAATAATCTGTAAAGAAGCAGGCTTTTAGCCATATTTTTAATTGTTTTGTTCAAATTCACACTACATTTAAAATGCTCATGGAGGTGGAGTGCTAGTGAACTTGTCAACCTGTTTGAAATGTGCTGAATCACAGAAAAAGTGAGGATGCTTACTTAGAGAAGGTGTCCTGGGCTAGAAAGCTTGAGTAGTATTAAACTAAATAAAACAAGATTCTTTCAGAGCCCTCACAGGATCTACATCATCACTTTCCACAAGGTCCTAATACCAAAGCATTTTATCCAAAATTCTACGCTTTTCAACCTAGTAATAACCTACCTATAAAAAACTAATTTCTATGTCCCTAGGCTAGTTAAAGATAAAAGGGCAATCAATTGGATAGAGTTCAGTGACTCTAAGCAGAAAATGAGAAATAAAAAACAGTAAAAAATAATACCTTAAATTTACTTCTTTTAATTTCAGTGCTCTTTTAGACTGTTTTAGGTATTATTTAATTTAAGTAACCCATACAGCACAATTTTAGGTGTTTACCGAATAACGATCAACTAGTATTCCTCTTTAAAAACATTCTTTGCAAGTTCAGCTTTGTTACTTGATACCTGATTTTCCAAAATGCTGAGCACCTGCAGCTCCCAGTGGCTTCATTTTCACAGTAACCACAGTTTCCCAGGAAATCAGGTCAGAGCACACTTGCACTCACGTGGCAAGGCCCCAGTTTTCAGTGGAAAACTATACATTTTGAAGACTAGGGCATTTTTTATTTTGCTACACCTTCTACCAAGAAGTGTCTATTTTTCCACAGCAGATGCTGGAGCCCTGTCCTTTTAAGCTGCCAACATCCCAGATTCTGTTTCCAAGCTCATCTATTTAAAGAGTGAGAATTGTCATGCTGGAAAGTACCTTAAAAATAGGGGTCTGGTGCAGGGCCTATACCCAGCTCCCTATTTATTCCATTCTGTACTCCAATGGCAAGGAAAAATAAATTATGAACAGATGCTTGCTTCTGCCCTGCTCTGGATTCCAGCCAGACAGACTGTTTGAAAGGTGTAATACAAGAAGCTGCTGCTTTCTAAAGGTACAGATATTTATTCACAGGAACAAGAGAACTGAGATAAAAAAGGTAAAAGAATTAGGACTCTGAAAAGTACAATTTTATAGAGGCTGCCTACAAGGTGACACAGCTTTCTACCTCTCCATATGCAGAAGCACCTTTTACAAATCCATACTTGTGCTATATAATCTGAGGAACTTGGGCAAATCAGGCTAATGCAGAGTTCCTTGTTCCAGTGACTCTGCAGAGCACAACTGGAAAATAATTATTCACTGCAAAAAAGAGTGTATGTGACATTAATCGAGATTATAAAAAGCTAACTACTTCAGGGGCTAAAAAATTGTGCTATCCCAAATTCTCATTAATAGCATCCAATTACTGTCTGTGGTTACGTAACGGTTCATCTCACTATGTGGCCACTTACTGCTGGAGTCTGTTGCTGCTCAGCATAAATTGCACAGAGCACAGTGTGTAAAGGCACTAATGGCATTTGCTTTGCATTTTGCAGTACAAGGATAAACAAAAAGATATTCTGAAACAAAATTGCAAGCTGGGGGGAGAGGTCATTCCAAGCAAATTTTTAAATTTTTTTATGTTTTTAAATTAGTTCAGTTGAGAGGGGTTTGGGAATTTTTGTTGGTTGGTTTGGGTTTTTTTGTAGCAAAAACATATGATCGTTACGAGGTGTAAAAGAAAGTAAATGTTTTCTGTTTGAAATATGTGGTATAAAGTAGTACACTATCACATAAAACAAGCCATTAATTTTAGAGGGTTTATTCCCCTGAATGCTATACAAATATTTCAGCTGATCTCAAAGTGCACATCATTAGAATATGGGAACTTTTACTGAGCAGTCTGCGTGTGGGCACTGACCAAATAAAATGTCAATGAGCCTCTACTGATAAGAACAAGCAGAGATAAAGTGGATGGAAAGATCTTTGAGTCAGTAAATACTGCAAACAACAATCATAGCAGGTCAGGCAATTATCACAAGGGGAAAAAAACACTGATAAGTCCAGCAAATAAAATGTGATCCCCTCATAAGCCACGAACATCAGAGAGAATGACAGCAGGCTAAAGCTGGGGTTCACAGGCCATTAACCTTTCTGAGTGGAGGGCCAACTATTGCTGTGGCACCAAATCCAACAACCGGTCTGTTTGTACAGCAAATTACCTATTTCCTTTGTAGAAGGGAAAACAGAGTGTTTGAGAAGTAAAGCTACTGTGAGAATCAAGGAAACAAAATCAATGAGCCAAAACATGAAGAAGCAGTTGCAAACTGAAACAATGAAAAAAAAAAAAGAGTTATGAAAGATAAAAGCCAAAGACTGAAGCAGCAGGAGAAAAAAAGAATAGGCTGTAATGATTTCTGAGAGGATGGTTTTTCATTTTCTTCATGGTTAATGGCGAGAATTCATTGACCCCTGCTGCAGCAGGATCAGGATTCTTAAGATGGGAACAAAAATGGCTAAAAAAGAACAAAAAGCAGAACAAGTAGTGAAAGGATTCAGTGCAAAAAAAATCCAATAAATACTAATTCTTCCCCCATTATAAACATAATTTCTGCCTGTGTTGGAATGGAGATTTCAATTTGCTGCTATATACTAAAAAATAATAATTTAGCAAGCAGTCACCACTGGGTTTTTTGCCATAAAGAACAAACCGTTTAACAACTCATATTCTCATAATATTAACATTTATTAATCTTCAACATACTGTCTGGGGTCTTAAAGTACACAGCTGATCCTCAACTCCTTCGGAAGTGTCTGCAAAATTCCCTTCCTAGAATGTAGTGCATAAGGTAATCCTAAGGAAATAGATATTATACTATAATGGTGGTATCTGCTGCTATTGAGTTCAAGTTCTGACATTTTCTACATAAGGAAAAAAATGTCTCCTGCTTTACATAAATGAACATATATCATGAGTTACAATATGAGTTGACAGATATAATTATGAGTTGACAGATAGTCAAACTTATTTCTGGAAATAACACAGACACCCTATATTATTTAAGATTTTTTTTTTTTAACTATCCCTGACAAGTTTTCTGGGATAAAAGCAGTATTGTAAAATCAGAATTCAGCCTTGTAAGTAAGCTACTATTCTGCTATATCCAGAAGAGCCCCAACGCATAAGTCGAATATCAGATATTCAATGCTTTTCTTTCAAAGCACATATTAGCTTAACAAGGATCTGTGTTATAAGCCATATTAATCATGTGTTTGCAAACAACAGCTTTTATCAACATTGATTATTTTTTTAATAGAATTACAAAATCAATAGGTCAAAGTTAGTAGATGCAATATATTTAAATTTATAATGCATTTATATTTAAATTTTGAAATTAAACTTTAAAGAGTAGCTTGCATAAAAGGATTTCGACAGAGTGAAATCATAACTGAGGGGTATCAATATGTGTAAATGCATCAGAATAGTGTAAGAGGCTAGCTAGAAAGAGAAATCATTATTAATAAAACAATTATGGTTCAATTAAAAAATTTAAAGATCATAGCTTCAAGAAAAAGTTTCATATACACATACATGTAAGAAAAGGAAGAAATCTTTAAGGATAGACATTCGTGACAAAACAGAATAACAATTCAAACATAAATATTTAGCATAATATAAGGATAAACTAAACAGGTGCATGTTGCTCAATTTTTCAAGCAATGTAAAAACTCAATACCAGGTAAATGTACAAAACAAGAAATGTCCCAGAAAAAGATCTATACCATGATCAAAGGCTCAAAAAGAAGTAACCAATGTATAATTGAAATGTTCAGGGAAAGAAATATATGCAGAGAAGAACTTGAGAAGAATGAGATTGTTTCTGATATGAATTTTCCCCCAGCCCTACAGATAAATTCTTAAAATCTGAGATATTTTCAGAGGAAAAGTAAATAAGAATGGGTAAGGAGATAAACTAACATGAGTGCAGAGACTGACCACATGGGTATCAAATATACATTTTGAGTACCTGAAACTAATAATGGACTCCCAGATCCAATATTGCATCCCTTGACTTCTGCACTTATCAGGTCAGGATGATTTGCAGATGCTTCATCTGGAACACTGCAGGCTACAGCATGGCAAGGCCCCTATGGCCAGAGACCCTGGCACTCCCTGCCATGGGGGTAGCACAGCTGCAGCCAAAGGTACAAGGATTTTCTCCTCTTGCTCTCAAAAATGCACCTGAAGGCATAAATAGTGTTGAAAGCACTTTTCTTTGAGACAGAGTCTGTGTGTTTAATGCTTTCTGATGAAGAAACTGAACTCATACCCTAACTTGTGAACTGAGTGAACTCTAGAATAAGATAGAAAAGGTGAACAGCATTGTCATTTTCTCCAGTAATTTAAAAAAGGAGAGACTGCAGAAAAGCGTAGCCTGTTTCTGTAGATGTGCTTTTGGCACACTGCAAAGAAACTTCTTAGGTTAAGTCTCAGAGTCAATTAAAGTGAAGGAATGTCTGCTTCTGGGGTTCCAGCCATATTTAGAAGGAAAATAAGTAATAAGATGGCTACATAGACAACATCTCCTCTTAGCATCTACAGAAGCACAGGCTTATGTGCTTAGGGATTTTAAGATGGAACAGGGAGCTCCTTATTGAATTTAGGCTCCACAAACGTTAAATAGTGGCTGAATTGATTTAGATAATTTGTATCTACTCAGCTGTTGTCTTAGGTGCCTAAATCCTTTCCTGGAACTGGACCAGGAGAGAGCATTGTGCTGTTAAGTGCCCTGCTTTTACAGAAAATCAATGCCTAACTATCATATTTTCATTTAGAAGATCCTCCCCCAGCATTTGTATAGCTTGCCATTATACAGCTGATTGGACACATTATAAATGCTTAAAGATATTGAAGAGCCTTAACAAGGACAAAAATGCAATTATTTAGTTTAGTAGGAGAGTATGAAAATCAGAAGAAAATTCATGTATGTAGGAACTATTGAGAATTTATTGTATTCAGATGAGGAACTACTATGGACTTACAAAAATGGCAGAAACTTCATAATTTCTATTATTTAAAAAGAGAATAAACAAATCACTGATAAGTAGAAGAAATATGATATTGCTAGGCAGCTGATGTTGTGTGTCACCTTTTCATCTTAATGATGTGACCTGATGGAATCAGCTCTCTTTTCCATTCCGAATATGTGATTCTGAAGCAATTAGTGATTATCAGAGAAACCTGTGGGAACATGACCTGTCATGGGGCTGCTATTTTCTTGCCAACAACTTTGGAATTATCAGGTTTTACTCATTTGATCCAGGATGGTAAATCCCTGCCTGGGACCTTCTGAAGATAATATTTTTCTCATAAGTAAATAAAGTAATGAACACAGAACAAGGTGAGGTGCCACTTTTTGTAAAAGTGATAAAACCTATCACACAATCAATAGCACAAATGCTTTAAGAGAGAACATCCATTATCCTCTCTTAAAATCCAAGGGAGAGGAAATGTTGAGCTCCATTGTTCTTCAGATATGTTTCTCCATACTTTGGGAACATTTTAAAATACAGAAGGTTGACCAACAAGCATTAAACTCTGAGTGCTGATCTTTGCTCAGAAGGTCTGAGCAGAGACACACCTCATGAAAAGCAAATCACTGAAGTCTGGTCCACTGCAGAATCTCATTTTCCTTATTTCTCTGTAAGATGATTGGGTTGGCCCCAAAAGCCAACCATATCCTGGGCTGCAACCAAAGCAGCATGAACAGCAGGTCAAGGGAAGTGATTCTGCCCCTCTAATCTGCTCTGGTGAGACCCCACCTGCAGCACTGCATCCAGCTCTGGGGTCCTCAACATAAGGACACAGAACTGTTGGAACAAGTCCAGAGGAGGCCATGGTGATGATCAGGGCTCTGGAACACCTCTCCTGTGAAGATGGCTGAGAGAGCTGAGATTTTTCAGCCTGAAGAAGGCTCTGGGCAGATCTTATTTCAACTTCCAATACCTGAAGGGAGCCTACAAGAAAGATGAAGAGGGACTTTTGTCAAGGCCATGTGATAATAGGATAATCAGTTTAAACTGAAGGAGGGTAAGTTTCAGTTAGATATTGGGAAGGAATTCTTTATTCAAAGGTTGATGAGTCGCTCTGAGTCCAGAGAAGCTGTGGATGCCCCGTCCATAGAAGTGTTCACGGCCAGGCTGGATGGGGCCCTGAGTAGCCTGGCCTGGTGGAAGATGTCCCTGTCCATGGAAGAGGGGTTGGAGCTGGAGGATTTTTAAGGTCCCTTCCAACCAAAAGCATTCTATGCTTCTATGACAAAAAGGACAGAATAACTATCATGCAAATAGAGAAAGCTACTGACCTCTGGAGATACATAGTATCTCCTTCAGGGTAACTTCTTTGCTTAAGGGAGTTATCCACTGGCCAATTTGTCCAGCAAAGCACACAACTTTTCAAAAATATATTCATATATTTCAGTACAAATAATAACATTAATTTTAAATATTTTTCCAATTCACTTTTTTCCCCTACATTTTCTTCAATACACTTTCCCTATAATTTTTTTTAATTTATTAAAGCCTTATCTTTCTACTTAAATACATGGATTTTTATAAAATGAAAAATGTGAAATCCCCATTGGTAAAATACAAAATGGAAAGAAAAATGGGAAATGGGTCAATCTTGAGCTCTATTAAATGGAAAGAGCTTTAAAATGTCAGAACACCAGATGCATTTTGACAGGTAAATGTAGTTAAACTTATCAATAGTGAAAAGTTCACTGTATAGACTTCCAAAAAGATTAGCAAACAAAAGAAACAATAACCTTTTTTTTCTCTTTTTTTGTTTGTTCATTTGTTTGTTTTTTTAAGCCAAACTTACCTTTTCTTGCATCCTGAGTTAGTCTTGAATGCTTGGAGTCAGTTTGCATTTAAGATGCAGAGTGCACTGTGAGTCTGATAATAAATTATTTAAATGAAAATTGCTTCCATTTCCAGGAGATCTTAGCAATACGGTGAATATAAATCTATGCAGGAGCATATTAAAGTCTCTTTTTATTCACAGCAAAGGCTTTAAAAAACATTGAACAATAAGAACCAAAAATGTTGACTCTGTCCTTCTATATCTATTATATTAATAGTTTACTAATCAGTGTACAGGAAGGTATTTACTTTGTAGAGTCCACTCAAAGACATCAGAAGAACTTCCTGAAGGCAATACACATTGACTTTCAAACAGACAATATTTCCCTTAAAAGATACTGTATTAATTTTCCAAGTAATTACTGAACTTTTAGGAAAAAACTATTCAAATAATCCCAGGGTTTGTACAGTTTTTTTAACAAGCATACCTGGATGACTCCTTATTTTTAAATACTTTAATTTTACTAACAGGAAATAGAGCCTCACAGAAACATAAGGGGCTTTTGGCTGCATTGGCTGCAGACTGCCAGGTGCACCTCTGTCAAATCCAAGCCAACATCTTAAAAGGCCAGGACAAAGCTGCAATGCGAGTGCGAGGATGCACAGCAACACAGCCGCTCTCCCCACATTCTGTGTTGTGTCCTCTGCTGGTAAACTTTAGGTATGAGGGGCTGCATCTTCTTCACCCATGCCACACCATCTTTCTCCTTCTGAAGGCAGTGGTTATCCTAAGAAGTCTCCTGCTCAGTAAAGGGAGAAGAGCTTTTGGCACAAAGGTGACAGGCAGACCTCACAGTAAATACATGAGTATCATATAAAGGACTGAGCCTGTTTCTTGTCTTCATAACATTTATTTTTCAGTAATAACAGGAGGAGGACTAAGATCTGTGCCTACAGTGTTGTTTTCTGTTCTGCCATGCTATTCATAAATAACAAATTCCCAATAAAGTCCTGGTATAGCTAACTTTGTATTATCCCTCCTTTATTTTTAAAATACAATAAAATAGAGCAAGCTTGTTATCAACTATCAGAACATGCATGGTGGCAGAACCTCTGCTTAGATGCATCTGGGCTCAGAGGCCCAGGGCAGTTGGAGTTAGAACAGTCCCAGGCAAAGAAAACATAAATGTCCACCAGGAGAACAATTTATGTCTTCTAGAAAACTGTGGTCATCAAAATCACATGACACGTTCATGCTTCATTGCTGAATAAATGTAATTTTCAATCAGTTTTGAATCTATTACATAAATTTATGTGAATTCTGGAAAATCTTAGGGATTTCTGTTCACTGATTCATCACACATCTCATGACAGATATAATATTCTGCCTAAAACATACATTGTTAGAACTAGTTCTAATAGAGAGTCAGTCACAGGCTTCTTTAGATTAAAACCCAGACATTTGGGGTTTTCATCTGTATACGTGTTTTTATTTTTGTTTTTAAGGCTACAAGCAGTTAATTATATGTTAGTGATAACCAAGACCACTGAATGATTATTCATTATCTGTCAGAACTAGTCAAATAAAAAATGTCCATTAATATAATCAGTAATTATATCTCATATTACTCATAAGCAAACTATCCAACGTTTGTCCCTGTTCCATAAATTTTCTGTACATAATAGTCACTAAACAAAAAAAAAATCAAGATCTGTTTCTGAAAATCTCAGATAAATTATCCATAAATATTTGTTTAATTAACCAACTCTATTACCTGTCATTTCTCTAAGCAGATGTTAAATATTCCCCTGACTTCTTTCCTAAGCAAATTAATATCTGGTTACATACTTTTTTTTTAGTATGTGCCACGGTAACATGATTTTATCCTCACTTTCTTACCTGTGGTCAGGTACTGGTTCAGAGCAAATGATGTCCAGTCACAAGTCTTTATTGTCAGCCAAATAAAGTTTCTCCAACCATGAACAAATACTTTGTTTTCTTTCCTTAGTTCTCTCCCAGGTTCATTCAGATTAAAAATACTGTTGTATATATACCTTGAAAGGTAAAAAAAATACAATCCAGAAATCTGATCTGTTTAATTAGTTTCTATCTGATGAGTTATTTCCTTTTTTTGCTCAAAAGTGTTTAAATGTGTTTTCTAACCAGTAGTATGGGTACCTTACATGCTAATATTTAAAGAGAATATCCTAAAATCTATTTTCAAGTCTAAGACAATCAGGGCTGGGTCGAGATAGCTCAGGATATTTCCAACTCCTAACCTTGGCAGCATCTCGTTGTCCTATTGGAGTGATAAAGGCAGAAAGACTTCATCGTTTCCCATAAATACATAGGTATTTTTATTCCATCTAAAAGAATATGAAACCTTCTTTTTTAAGAAATTGGGAGAAGAAACAAGTGCTTCTAGTTCTAACACTTACCCTAAGCAGCTACAGCAACTCAGGGACTCAGAGAAACAGGAGGACAGGTGATGAGACATTTCCTGTTCTCGAAGTACAGAAGAGGGGACCCTCTGTTGGGCTGGTAATAGCAGGGTTCCCCCAGTGCCTTACTCAGATTTCTTAAGTAGCATCATCATTTTATGTGTACATAATTTGGGGTTCCTTCTAAAAGAGAAAGTTTTGTCCTCCACCAATTCTTTTTCTAGGTTGATTTTAACCTGAACTGTGAATACATGAACACTTGTTCTGGCATACGGGAGTAGGCGGCACAGGAGCAAAACAAGACAGAGATGGGAAAGGATGGATTTTTTGGAAACATATATAATTAGTGCCAGCTTCTGAAGCTGTGATATTAAAGTCAGCACCCCAAAACAGTGGTGCTCTGGAATAATCTCTCTTAGATCTACTAGGTAAGATGCCAATAAACTTAGTAACTGAGATTTGTTTAGCTATCACAGCAAAGAAAGACTTCTGCTGATTTATGAAGGGTGAGACACTTAAGTCCTGCTAGATAATTCCAAAATCTGATGACCATGCAAAAAATCTGAAATTGTTTTCCTTAATCAAAAACTGGATATTATGATGGGACTGTTCTAATTATCGGAGTTGAATCACTTCTAGAATCACATAATTATTAAGTTGAAAAAACCTCTAAGATCATTGAGTCCAATCAACACTGAAAATGCTATGTTTCAGTGTCAATACAGAGTCTTGATGCCTTATATGGAGGGTGTATTCCTATGTATTTTAGTCCACTAACTTTTTTAGTGTCTTTTTTAAAGTCAACATGAGCTTTCATGTGGTCATATTTCCCAAGTTTTATTTTTCAATAAAAATTAAATAATTTAGCCAGGTATCTGAATAACACAAAATGGTACGGCCCTGATGAAATCAGCACGTTTATTGATCTTTTATTCCAGAGATGGATGCACTTTATTAAAATATTCCTTAAACATCTTGTGACATTTAGGGATTTAACATAGAAAGAAAAAGATTTTCCATCAAACTCAGTGGCCACAGGAGAGAAATAAGCACGTATAATGCCTATGATCCCTTCATATGCCTAATAGGTCACAGTTTTCAATTGATGGTTTTATTCTTTGTTGCTTCAGTGATATCTGACACCACCGAATAACACTGAATTGCTCAGAATTTATGCCAAGCTAATAGAAAAAGTCACTCATTTTCTTACCTGCCCATGTATATGAGGTTCCTTCTGGCAAGTTTTATTCTTTTTTTTCCCCATATTCTTTGCACGTATCCAGGGAATTACCACTTTGTCTACTGTTATCCACTGTTTCTATGCTCCTTCTGTGTGAAACAGTCTAATTGCACAGTTTAGATTTCACTTATTCAAATGCCCCATTTTGTGATCAAAGTAAAAGTCTATTTATTTTGCCTGTATTTTTAATCTAAAGCTAGCTAATATTTAACTACAGGTCAGGTAAAACTTTCCTGTTTAATGTTGTCTCACTATGACAAAGTTCAGATGATAATTAGGCAATAGACATTTATAAGGAGTGTCATATTTATATTCCACTTTGCAATTTACCATAGCATTTTCATAGTTGGCATGATTTAATGGGCAACTCTTTGTGAACTTGTAGTTATCTAACTGAAATTGAGTATTTGATCAATTTCTTTAAAAATAAAGCATGATCAATGTCACAGAATATTTTCATAGATGTAATGCTCCTCCTTATCTAAAAATGTGCAACAATACTTCACAAATAATTTCCAAAGTCTTGCCTATTTAAATACCAAATTATTTCTTTATTCAGAAACAAAATTTTAAAAAGGAGATGAACTATTTTCTAATTTTCTCAATGTGAATCAAGAACCAAAGCAATACTAACATAAAAAGAAGAAATTTGGGTCAACAAGTACCTGAAAAATTTAATTTATGCTCATCCAAATAAATAGTAGAAATAACCTGGCTATCCCTATCGGCTTGCTGGCTTTTTTTCTATTGGTAGTTTACATAATGAAAATAACAATGTGAAATCTAAAATGTACATATCCTGCAGAGCTACACCCTTTCTCTTGCTGCCATTTCACAGAATCACAGAATGCGCTGATTTGGAAGGGACCCACAAGGATCATTGAGTCTAACTCCCTGCCCTGCCCAGGACCATTCCCAAGAGTCACACCATGTGCCCGAGAGGATTGTCCAAATGCTTCCTGAACTCTGTCAGGCTTGCTGCTGTGGCCACCTCCTAGAGAGCCTGTTCCAGTGCCCAGACACCTTTTGAGTGAAGAACCTGATTCTACTCCAAGAAAGATATCAGAAATGGTGTAGCCATCAGAACTATGGCAGTGACTGTCCCTCAGTACTCAGAACCAGTGAGGCCACACCTCGCATCCTGTGCCAGTTTTAGGCCACTGTCTCCTAGAAAAACACTGAAATGAAGGAGCTTTTCCAGAAAAAGGGAACAAAGTTGATGAAGGGTCTGGAGCACAAGTCTCATGAGATACAGCTGAGGGAGCAGGAATCATTTAGCCTGGAAAAAAATAATAGAGGCTTGAGGGGCCTCATCGTTCTCTGCAACTCTCTGAAAGGAGGTTGCAGCAAGGGGGGTGTCAGCCTTCTCTCCTGGTTAACCAACAATCAGATGAGAGGAAATGGACACAAGTTGCTCCAGAAGAGGTTAAGGTTGGATAAAGGGAAAAATTTCTTCACTGAAGGGTTGTCAGGCATTGGAATGGGCTGACGGGGGAACTGGTTGAGTCACCATCCCTGGAGGCATTTAAAAGACATGTGGTCGTAGCACTTAGGGACATGATTTAGTGCTGAACTTGGCAGGTTAACAGCTGGATTCCATGACCTTAAATGTCTTTTTCCCAAACTAAATGATTCTATGATTTTAAGATCAATTAAAGTAGAATTCTTCACATATGTTATTTATTCATTCCTGTTTATTTCTAATGCCTTTGGTTGGTGACTGACTGAATTGGCAATAGCCTTGCATTGAAATGTAGATCTTAGGTACTTCGTTTCAAAGTGCTAAATTATCACTGCTTGGTTTCTTTTCAGATTCCTGGGTACATGCCATTTAAAAATGTAAACACCCAGCAGACATGATGTAAATATGCAAAGATTTTAGTCAACACACTGTTTGGGATTCCTCTCACATTAACAAGGACAGTACAGACAATTACCAACTCCAGGTGTTTAGATCTCTTAAAATCTGTAACACACGTGCAGGAAAACTATGTTTCTCTTTAAATAAACATTTTCTATTAGAGGTTTCTTACCCAGACTTGCATAACACATTTATTTCCCTGGGTCATTTTCCATTTTACAGCAAATAGATTATAGACAGAACATAGCAATCTGACAGCAGCTTTTCCCTCCATCGATAGCATTTCTATTTAAAGATGAGGATTCAAAATCAGTATGGAAGGTACATGCTCTCTTTTCTAAAGGGAGTCAGTACACCTGTACATAATTCATCACTTCCATTAGTTTAGTAAGGCCAAGTTTAAAAATCAAGGAAAACTTGGCACTAAGTCTTTTCATTTGAATGTCTATTGTTCTGCAGGTGCAAGTCCATATCTTTACTTAAAGCCAGCTCTATTCTCTGACCATATTATTTGCCTACAGGAATCCTGCTGGCACCAGCAACTGGTGTCTAAGGAGAGGGGATGAGAATCTTGAGAATACAAGGATCTTCCATTACATTGTTGAGCTTGTATCATCAAAAATCTAACAAAAACTAGACGAAAAAAGGACTCACATATAGTTGCTGCTTCAATTGAGCTTGCTTGAGCCCTAGATATTACTGGAAGGCAAAGCTGGTATTGTTGCTATAAAACTTATTTTGCCTCTCTTTTCCACTTGCTTATTCTTCCACTTTGTCCTTGTGTTCTCTGTTAAAAAACAAAGAGCTCATTTAAAGTGGTTAATAGGTATGGCCACATAGATAACAGTATGACAGCAAATTAATCAAGCATGGGTTGGTATCAAATCCAGAAACTGAACAAAACTTTATGAGAAAGTAAATTTTCATCCAATGAAATGAGGAGTATATGAATCCCAAAAAGCTACCAAAATCACACCTGAATAATGCTATTATGCAGTTTGCTGCTACTTCTCAGTGTGAGAATACAGAAACCTGCTGCAGTTACTAACTTGTGAAATGGAGACTTACCATAAAATACATATAAAATGAATAACTATCATAAAATATGCTGGAGTGCAGTTTAATTTCCCTGATAAAATTTTATATTCTGCTTTCTGACATTCTTGGCTGATTGATTTAAACAATGCAGACTTCACACTATCTTAAGAGTTAAGCTGAAATGAATAGCCTGGCAGAGTCATGGTCCATGACCCACAGTACCTGTCTTCATGGATGATTTCTGATGAGCACAGCCCAGAGTAAATACACTCTTGTAGATTGCTTGTTCCTGTGACCATAATTATAGCTACACTGTCTTTCAGGGATTAACTTCTGTGTAACTTGCAGGTTTTTTTCTTTTATATTATAGTTAGCTTGGAAGCAAATACAAATATGATAGTGATATTGTGATCACAGAAACATTGAAGAGCCATGTGATTCTATATCCAAAAGTTGGGAGAATTTTCACAAAAAATATTGTCCTTGAGGCAGATATCTGTATCTAGTTATAAGGTTAATGGGCTATGAAGGTAGGAGACCACTCCTTCTCCCAGTAATCTATTTATTTGTTTCAAGTATTTGTAAAAGAAAATATCCCAATTGCAGCAAGTGGAACTTTCACCTAATTTATAAGAAAAAAAATTAAAACAGAATTTTCAAGTCCTATTAGGCATTTAATGAGCCTCTTACTAGATTCTTTCACTTTTTCCTCCATCTCATTTTAAAGATAGAAATAGAATTGCCTTGGAAATTTGAATTTCAAAGCTAGAAATAGAATTAAAATGGATTTTGTTTCATTTGTTCAACACCTAAAGAACAGATATCTAAACCCAGCCAAAAAGACCCTGGATAAAACTGTCTGGTGCTTTACCTTTAAAACACAAAGTTTTTAGAAACTGGGCTGGATATCAGAAATCTCACTTTGTGTAAACTTTGCTGCCTAGTTACAGCTGTAGACTAAAATAAAACATTTTTGGTATCTTTTTATTAACTTGGGTATGTGTATGTATAAACCAGGTAATTTCTAATCCCATGGCACCTTTTTTTTTTTCCACCAGAGGATCAGGAAACAACTGTTCCCCTTTATGACTCTAATTCTGTACTATATAGCAGTACTGACTCCAGTGGAATAACCCTTAATTCAGAGAGTTCTCTGGAGAGAAGGAGTATAATTAGATCCCTTAAAATTATTAGAAACAGGAGAATAATACAAGCCTTAAAGAAGCTTTTTTTCTATATTGAAATACTTTAGTAGCAGTAGGTTGCAGGGAAGTCTATTGTCATGTGCTGCCTATGCTTTAGGCATTATTCTGCTTAAAACACATATTTGCTGGGGGAATGTTCTTACTAGGGAAGTGTAAGTTACTAATATGTATACATAACACAGGATAGTGTTGAATGAGAAAAAATTGATATCAAGAAAATAATGTAAATACCTCCTATACAAAAAAAAACCCCACAGTTTGCAAAATATTTTATGAACACAAGCTGGAATGGTGCCTATTAGAATCTGACTGATGCATCAACCAGTGGGCAGAGGGGGAGAGGAAGGACACTTGTCCATAGAAAGTTAAGAGTTCTGGAGAGCTCTATACTAGATTAAGACCCCCTAAGAAAAAGTATGTCTTTCCTCTTCTTTTATAAAACTCCAAGCCGTATAATTTTCTTTTGTTTTACTGAATTGCTCTCACAGTAATTTACCTAATAGAAACAAAAGAAAAAAAATCATCTTTAAAGACTGAATTCCTTGCTACCTTTCAGAAATTTCCTACTATTGAAGAATATCTTCACACATCTGAGTCTCAGCTATCCAATCAAATAGGAAACATGGCAACTATACAGAAACATTATATAGCATAGAGAGCAAATTGAAAGTAAAATAAATTGGTTAGTTTTTGTTAAAGATAGCAGATGTCAAAAAAGTCTTTTAATCACTGAACACTGAAGTGATTGACAATTTGTTATTTATCCAGAAATGTAAATTTTTTAAAACTAAAGTGTAAAATATAATTATTGACATAATTGATTATATATTATGCTAGACATTTTAAATTCTATATATATTTTAGTCAAAAATAATTATTATTTTCCCTCTAACTTCTTCTCATGTTCTCAATCAAGATAATTTGGCTTGAACTAAATGTGCTGTTAGGTAGTGATTGTCACATATCACTATAATGCTCCCATTCCTCCTGAGGTATTTTCACTGGGAAAAGCAGATGGCATTATAGCCAGGGCTCTGCTATGAGATTATCATATGCCATGATCTGCCTCAAGTATGAACTATTTTGGAAGGATTTCAACGCTCTGTAGTTTCTTAGATTCATAAATTGATAAAGTGTTCCAAGACCCACAGCTGTCCATGTTCTTGTGGGTTAAAAATACATGCAATATTTTTGGCTTATCAGGTATGTTCTACCTACTGATACTTACTGGCTTGCCTGAAATTCACCCATGAATGTGTTCAAGCAGCAGCAAATGTAATTAGATTTGTATAAAACAGAATATTGGTAATTCCTGGTTTTCTTTTCCTTTTTCACTTTCAGGAATTCCTTCTGGCAGTAAAACATTCACTTAGAAGATCAACAGGAGAGACTAAAATATACAAAGCAGAGTCCTGAGGTTATTCACGTCTAAAGCAAATGACACAAATGGGACACTGAACTTAGAATCTTCTGGATGACAAAACATGGATCCCAAGTTAGTTAATGAGAACTGAGATGAATAAATTGCTCTTTTTTAACTATTTATTCTTTAGAACATGACTAATCCAATCCAAATTATTCTGACATGCACACTTTGGCTACTGTTTGTCCACACACCCATCTCCTTTGAGCATTGGCTGGTATACCTGCCTTCACTATTTCTTGTGGAAATTGAACTAGAACTTAATTTATGGTCCTTTTTTTAATTAATCAAGAGCAGCACATAATTTTTTTTAACTCTTAGATGAGGAAGGCCAAGTAAAATTATAGAAAGCAGACAGTTTTCAATTATTCCAGGTAATAAGATCTGCCTAACACTTGTCGTCTGCACAGTGGTTCTACTACTCCCTATCAGATTACATTTCATATACTAACATTTAAACAAAATTAAATCAAACCCCTTGAGTCTTTACTTCTATAGCAGTTATTCAAATTACCCTGTTCACCTGACTACTGAAAATGCAAATATGTCAGTGCTGAGGATAGAGAGACACAATAAAGAGCAAGAGGGAAATCTGGTAACCAAGCAATGTAGTCATGAACTTCCATCTGTGAGAAGGATCAGCAAAGTTACTGTGCTATGCCAGCACAAGGGAGCAGTGGAAGAAACAAAAGCCTTATTTAAAGTCTGAACTTAAAAAAAGAATTATAGAACTGGAAGTACTTTTAATATTTAGTCTGAAAAGGTTTCAGATATCACAGACAAGGATCCTGCTAGCATACATGTGTATGTGTGACATCTTTTAAAATGTAAATCAATAATGTATCACTTCTGGAACATCTCAAGCCAAGGGAATGCTATTCATACCATTGACTTCAGCTAATGGTAGAAATGGAACCACATGCTTCAGGGAGCCCTGTGAGGCCAGCACAGAGATATTATAGACAGAAAGAAGAAGTGACATAATTAAAACCTCATCTGCACATTCTGGATAATCAGAAACCAAGTCTAAGTACATCTGAAAATATCAAACATACCATATGATGTGAATCATGATAATATGATTGTGAGCAACCTCAAAAAGTGAAATTTCATGCCCAAAACAGTGTCAGGGAAACTGTGAGACCAGGTGGTTTATGGCTTTATTTAGTCTTGAGAATGTCCAAGGAAGGGGAATGCATGGATTCTTTGGGCAATCATCGTGGCTATGTGAGTTTAGCAGAGAAAGGACGATTGGAGCACTAAACGCGATTATATTTTTGTCCTAAACTGAAGATCTTTTTGGCACTCCCTAGCCTCAAAGATGTATATTCCTAGACTGGGTTACTTGAGAAGGTCTGAAAATTGATATTCACTGTCAGGTGAATCACAGCAGTCTTGAATTTTCAAGTGCCAGTATGATGAAATCTCCATTTGAGATTATCACAAATTCTGTCTCAAAACATTCTCTAATTTGGAATGTCTGCTTCCCAAAATGTCAGTATTTCCTGGGGAAAAAAAAAAATCTTATCCCAAGAAAAATTAAAAATGTCTTTAGGAAATATTTTCTCTCAATAATCAAGTTGACTGTATCAATTTATTTTTTTCAAAAAAGGCCTATGTTTTCAGCAGTACAGTTTTGTGTCTGAATCTGCTCATGGATCTGTCAGGATATGGAAGTCTAGAGGCAAGATTGCATAGGCAGTCATCTGAGCTGTGCATTATTGTCCTAACCTGACACAAAATCATGGTGGTTTTTAAAATCCTACATGTGTTTTCTTTCAAGCTATTGACACAGCATATGAGGAAAATGAATATTTATCTAGTTCAAACAGCATAAAAATTAATGTATGTCTATATTGATTTTTTTCCAAGAGTCGTGAAACCAGGCTTTCAAAATCACCTGTGAGTAGCCTGAATACTGAGCTAAAGCACAATTTCTGAGTGATTGCTTTGGGTGCTACAGTACATACAGAGGAAGCCCTCTTTCAAAAAGCCTATCTGGATAGTTTGGCTATTATACTGTGAAAAATAAGGATAAAGTATAAAAACAGTTTAAATTATAATAATCAACTAAATTAATATCTCTACTGTAATCTAACATTTAACCTGTCTTGAATAAATGAATAAATGAACAAATAAAAATGCAAAATAAATGGATGTGTTATGATGAGATAATCTTGCTATTTCTGAATATGTATTTCAGCATAGCAGTGCTTTTATTACTCTTTACCAGCAGAAAACTTGATTTTCATCTGAAATTATTATTCATCGTGCCAGATAAATTGAACTGCATGGAAGTTAACTGCTAGAAAAAGTAGACTGAAAATATATATCTTATGTGTATTGCAATCAAAGAGACATAATGGCAGAGATCGGAAATACAGGAGAGATTATTTAAATAAATTCTATCTTAGGCAGCACAAGACTTTCACGAAACAACATATGTAATTTGATTATCTCTCTCTGTCATCATAGATCAAGAGCAAAACTCTCACTTGCCAAATACCTGCTGTTCATATTGGCTTCAGTGGGGTTATTGAATAGTATTTAGCACTGATGAAAAATCTTCCCATTTATTTGCAGCTGTATCAATATAAGTCTGGAGATGTTAGCTCCAGACAGGCACCTGGGTTTGTAAATTTATCCTTTAATACATGTGTTTTATCTGCACAGACAGCAGATCAGCTCATACACTACCTCTCAGGAGGAAAACACTGTTTCAGGATATGGGTGTCTATTCAAATGAATTAGAAAAATGCCAATTTTTGCCATATAATTAGACATGATCTCATGCTATGATATTATGGAAGAAGAGTGGAAATATTGAAAAAGAAATATGCAAACTGGATATTTGCAGATTATTTTTGACAGCAATGTGAACAAAAGCACTGATAAGTACAGTGTCAGGAAGAATTAGTCTATATGATTCTGGACTCTACACAGTTACAGAGAAATATTATTACCGTGAGAATAATACTGAAAAAATAAATGTGGAAAAATACAGTTGTAGAGGGAAAATGCATGGCAGGTGGAGAAAGCTTCGCCTACAGAACTGAGTGTTAGAATATGCTAATAATAAAATCGTTAATGACTAAGTGAGCACAGTGTAGAAACTGCAGTTACCTTATTTAGATGAAGTGACTGTGTAAAATATGTTAACAGAATGCAGAAAGAGCAAAGAAGTTAAAAATTAACATAGAAACACAATGTACTACTAAGATATTTAGGAAAAATAAATTCACCTTCATCAAGACTGTATGGAAGCATTGACACTAAAGCCTCATACTGTTTTGGTAGGGTTTATTTCTTACAAGTGAAAAAGGAATTTATTTGTTATCTGTGTTCTGGGATATATATCCAAATTTCTCAAGCTTACTGTGCCCTGATTGAGATCAACAAGGTCTTTGAGGATATATAACAAACATCCTTAGGAACAGCAAAAACATTCTTGAGCTGGAATAAACAGCTGAAATTGTATTTAAAGTTGATGGAAGTTATTTTATCCCCCAAAACATTTTTCAATTTATATTTAATTTTGGCTCAAGTTCAATGCATGTTATAATTTTTGGCCAGTTTCAGGTCAGTTTCTGGTCAATTTCTGGCCCATTTGTACTTTCATCTCCTTGTTCCTTCTATCCCTCTGCTTCTGAGACTGAAAAGCACAAATAGCTGACTACAACTAGTGGATATAGTTGTATTATTGACAGTAGTCAAAGCAGTGAAGACAGAAATCTGATATCAATGCGAAACATGACACAAAGGGCAAAAGGGAACAAAATTTATCCAAAATCAAAACATATCAGATAAGCCTAAGGAAAGGGAATAAAGCAAACTCTATATTTATCTATAAAAATATTTTTTTTCTAAATACTGTTAGATTATTTTTACTACCAGGACATCAATGTCCAAAAGGAACCAATTATATACTTCAAACTGTATTTTATTGATCATGGTGTTTATCTGTGCTGGGAAGATATTTGTATATGATTACTGACTGAAAGTACATCCAAACTGATACTGCCCAAAGGAGAGAAAAGGTCTCACTGCCTCCTGGTCACTCTCAAGAAAAGAGTTACCATGATCCAAGTTCAGAGCAGCTGCTGTCCTTTTTCTCCCCTACAGCTGCTCAGCATTACCACACTTCCAATTGCTGCAGGGCAGAGGAAAGGAAGTGAGGAGTTCTGGCTATCTACTGTTGGCTAAACTAGCAGCATATGGAAATATCCACACAGGAATTCAGCTCCTATACCCTGATCTGAGGAAAAAGGCTGAAGAATAGAAATAATCTTCTTCATCTTTTGACCTCTCTGAAGTTAACCCCACTAGTAGAGAGGGAGATCTACAAAACTGGTTTGGAAGAGTAAATTCATTTTGTGAAAGATTTTTATATGGCCCATTTTTATTATTATTGATTAGAAATGAAACCATTTGAAAATTAGGAAAGGAAACTGTGCAAGCACAGAATATGCTGGGGCTACTCACCTTGAAGGTCCTAGTTTGGGCTACCTTCCCCTGGGGACACATGCCCCAGAACCCTACTGCTGCTGAATTAGGAGGAACTTCAGAAAAAAACAGAAACCTTGTAACATCAGGGATGTCTAGGCCATTGCCTAGAAAATACAGTCATTGCTGTATTTTCATTGGCATTAGGGTAAGAGCCAGAAGTCACTACAAATCTGCTCCAAATGCAAGGTGCACTCTTTCATTATTATTGATAAAAACACATTCAGAACATGCAGATGTAGAAGAAGGAATTATAACCACAGTTTATTCAAGTGAGAAGCTAAGAAAAGGAATGAGCCTCACCTGACAGATGGCAGTCCTAACACTTAATATTTGAATACACCGTGGAGAAGGCAACTGGAATTTGGTACAAAGGTAATTAATTTTGGAAATGCATGGATCTAGTTCAATTACTGACTTATAGACAATAACTTAATTTTTTCATGCTTTAGCAATGATTTTTT